GATGTTACAGTTTTAAAGTGTAATGTTCTTCACAATTTCCAACATTCGTTTGATTTTAACTGATTTCCAAATCTATAGGTGAGATTGAGAGTAGTGTATGTTTCACTGACTTTGTTATGAAAGAGAAGATTAAGTTTCTTTCGACTCAAAAATGGTTAAAGGCGAGTATGTTAATTTTTGGCGGGTCCTCGCGGTTTTCCACGGTTTCCGCGAAACTGATAAGAGATAACAACTTGCTGTCTTGGGCAAAGTTGTAGCACTCGAGGTCTTCTATAACATTGCAGAAGTCAGTTATCTCTTATTTCTTATCAGTTCCGCGAAAAGCGCAAAAAATGATAAGAAAAAAGTTCTATATAAAATTTGCTTTTTTATGTGCGCGATTTGCGCGCAACTGATAAGAGATAAGAGATAACTGGCTTCAGCAATGTTATAGAAGACCTCGAGTACTACAACTTTGCTGAAGACACCATGTTGTTATCTCCTATCAGTTGCGCGAAAACCGTGAAGACCGCAGAGGCTAGACGGTACTACAACATACTCTACTTTAACGCCAACAGAATCATCAGAAAACATACTCGCCTTTTCAAAAATATAAATCGAAGAAAAAACATACTCCACTCTCAATCTCACCCATAGAAATATTCAAGCCTCATTTTTGTGGTGTCTTCAATCACACTCCAAGTATTTTTGATAGCAACACGATATTCTAATGCGACTTCTTTTCAAAGCATTCTTGATTGGATAATAATACTCGCCAGGATACTCGATAGATGATTGAATGATACAGAGCGGTTCTATGTCATTTTAGTTTTTTTGTATACAAACAACTGAAATGACATAGATTCACTGTATGTATTGTGATTCACAGTTTTATCACGCATTGGTTTCTAAAATAACCAGATACAGCAAACTCTATAGCTAGGAAACCACTGAATATTTTTGCATTCTTGTTTGGAAACAAATGTAGGGAATTGAACTAGCTTTCATTTGATACCTTACAACCCTAATTTGTTTACATTTTGACAAAAAAAACGTGACGAATGAGTTTGTTGTTGATCGACAACAGTTTGTTTATATTACACAGCGAAACCTTCCGATAAGAGACGCTTCCAATAGTGGAATATACAAACAGCTAATGGAAAACAATTTGGAGCCATGCGATTCCACTGTTACGGGGTTTCACTGTATGTTTTGAATGCAATAGAAAATGAACCCATTCAAAGGTGTTTCTAGTGGACGCAGTAAGCACAAGTCAAAATCGGCAAAGGTTGAAGTCAAGCAAGAGCCGGTGATTAAGGAAGAGCCCAGCGACGTTGACGGTGTCATGAACATACCACGGCCGAGAGTTGGTGGAAGATATCGAGCGAATTACGGAGGACCGGTCGACTTTGGCTGTGACTTCGATGAGATAAAGGATGAAATAAAATGCGAAGAAGAAGAGACAGGTAAAGAGAAAGACTCGACACCACGTGAACGATCGAATGACGGAGCTGCCAACGATGATGACAATGAAGATCCAATGGGTTATGCAATCGATGTGCAACCACCGCAACCGGTCAGCAGCAGAAAGAAACGGAATGGAAGCGCCAAAAAACGAAACAAACGGACGATTCCCAGGAATCGAGCAGCCAAAAAGCAAAAGAAGCACAAATGCCATGTGTGCAATCATTTGGCAAGCTGCAAGTATGCACTCATGGAACACTTCCAAATTCACACTGGAGAAAAACCGTTTCAGTGTGATATTTGTTTGAAGTCCTTTGCACGAAAAGATGCTTTGGTTCGTCATAAGAAAACGCATGGTCAATTTCGTTGTTCAAAATGTAAGCAAAGATTTGAACAAGAATCAGTTAAGATCGACCATGAACGATTATGTAATTCCCATCAATTCGAATGCGATATTTGCGGATATAGAACGATCAACAAATCACATTTGACAGTTCATATGCGGATTCACAAAGGGGAAAAGCTGTTCAAGTGCACAATTTGTTTCAAATCGTTTACAACCAACTCTGATCTTCATAGGCATTCAATGACCCACAAAGATGAACTGCCGAATGCTTGTTCGAAATGCGGTCGAAGATTTGCCACTCCTGGCGAAAAGCAGTTACACGAAACGCGCTGCCAACGAACTCTTTTCGCATGTAACCAGTGTCATTACAAAACTGTTCACAAGCATAGCTTGAAGCGGCACATGCAATCAAAACACGGAGCCAAAAAATCGATCGAATGTGAAATTTGCAGCAAACAATTCGTCAAACAGATTTATTTAAATCAGCATTTGTCTACAGCTCACAGCGACCAATTTCCATTCCAGTACCCCAAGTGCTTCGGAGGATACGCAACCGAAGACGAAAAAGAGGTTCACGAAGATAGCTGTGGCTACCGTCGCTATCAATGCTATTTGTGTAACGAGCATTATCGAGGCAAACATGATTTACAGACACACATGCGGAAAGATCACACCGGAGAGCGGATTCAATGCAAAGTGTGTGCAGCGAGCTTTACCCAGAAAAGTGATGAAAATCGACACATGAAAAATGTTCACCGTTTGAAGAAGTGACAATCATGCATCGCATATTTGCATAAGTCGATAAACTCATTAACAAATAGTTGAACTGGAATGGACGCAATAACTGAACTTACACTTTTATACATTTGAAACACTTTCAATTCAATTCAATTTTTGAAATCAATTTGAAAAAACATTTAATATTCTTCAATACAAAAACTTCATGAATACCACCTTAGATCTAAGCTCCATTTTCGAATGAAACAAAACTGAAATAAATTGAAACAAAAAGCGAAGAGAGTTGATTTTTATTTCTGTCCTTATTTTCACAGCAATTTCTTCGATCAAGGAATGGAACAAGTGGTGTTTGGGAAATGTGTTGATACAAAATCAACTCTGCACTTTGATTGAGTTTGTCAATTTTTTTATGATGTTTCGGATTCAAATCGGATTTCTTTTGTATTGTATCCAGAGACTTGATTTGAATTGATTTCAGATCAATTGACCATTTGCTTCATTTTTTGCCGAGTGTTGAGAAAATATCATAATATTCTTGGCACTTCCGATTACAAAAGAATTAAAAGATGATTGAATTCTCTCTCATGGACACTGACTGGTTCTATGCAATTTCATTTATTGAATTTGCCCAATTTTCCAGCATAAATGCATGATGAATTCGATCTCATCAGCCTTAATTGAACCACTGAGAATGAATCACAAGCTCAATCGAAATGTTCACCACTACAGTATTTGAATACATTGTACACAAAAAAGGCACTTCGAAATGTTTGTACGCAAATACGACCTTTTGTACTGTCGCACTATGACTTTGTTCGGCCTCGAATACAACAGCAATATGACTCTCTTTCGCGCGCGACAAATTCTAGTTCCCTTTTTCAGCAAACTTATTCAAATTCTCCTTTTGTAAATATTGCAATTAAGTCTGGTATTCATTCTCATGGGTTCAATCCGACTGAATTTTGTTCAACTGACACATATGTTTGCGAACTCAATTCGACCATTCCACTCCAAGTGTAACAAAAATTGCAGATGACCCATCCGATTTCGCTCAAACTTGGTTTATAAACTTCTTATGGCCAAAAACTTGCAAAGCCAAAAAATTAGGGTGACCTAAATATTGAAAAAAATGAAAAATGGCACTTTTTGA